CAGAGAAATACAGTGGAACAGCTCCACGCTTCATTGTTCACGTCTCTCAGGGAACGTTCAAGTGCATGTAATTAATGACCCTGAGTTTCTCCTGTGCTTTTTTATTATCTCCTCTCCAGTTCTTGGAGGCTCCCCAGTCACTAACAACCTAAAAAGATAAACGAAACATTTAGCTCATGTGTTATGGGCACCCTCCTTTTCTCTGTCTCACCGCCAGAAGATTCTAGAAACTGCTTTGCAGACTCTCCTCAGGGCCTTAGAAGGTAAGGGTGAGAGAAGAATGGTGAGGAGTTGGGTTGCGTCTATTGGTGGTGAGAGTGGAGGTCCGGAAAACTGTGTTTGCTGCTTCTCTCTGTCTCTCTCCCTCAGCCATCAGGTCCCGTCGCAGAACACTTGGTGCATTCCAGGAGAGTCTTGTTAAAAAGCCTGTGGTTCTGCATCTCCAACATGCTCACGGGACCCCGGTGCTGCTGGTCTGGGGACCACACTTTGAGCAGCGAGACTGTGGCAAACTGTCCCACCTCGAGTCATTTTTATTCATTTATTTAGTTTAGGTTTTATTTATTTATTGGACAGAGAGAGACACAGCGAGAGAGGGAACACAAGCAGAGGGAGCGGGAGAGGGAGAAGCAGGCTTCCCGCGGAGCACGGAGCCCGATGCGGGGCTCGATCCCAGGACTCTGTGATCATGACCCGAGCCGAAGGCAGACGCTTAACGACTGAGGCACCCAGGCAGCCCTCGAGTCATTTTGAACACAGGGTATATGTGGCCTCAGCTTAGCCGGCTATTGCTAGAAAAAACAATCTCCTTTCCCCACTGCAACGTCTGACCGACTAACCCGGTAGTTCTGATGCCAGTCGTAGAAGTAAAAGCTTCTGTTTGTAACTGGGGAAAAGGAGAAGGGGAGAAGGACTGAGGGGGAGAGGGAAGGGTCAGAGAGAAGGACGAGGAAGTCCGAGGAAACAAAACGGTCGGTCTCTCCAACCAGGTCTCTTCAAGTAGGTATGAAAGCTGAGGTGATGGAAAGAACCTGATGGAGCTGTGTAAGAGGACAGTGGGGACACTGAAATGAAGGCAGGGCCGCCGCGGGACCAGGCAGAGCGGGTGCGGTGGGGCCTGGACTTGAGGATGCTGGCAGGGACCCAACAGCCCCCTGGAGCCGAAGGACGGAACACTTGGGGGCACCTGGAGTTGGCAGCCTTGGCACGGGCAGACGTTCTCTGGTTGTGCATAGGCTTCCCCAACAGCTCTGTGAGGAGCGGATGGGGTTGAAGGGCAGCAGGAGAGGACTGGGAGAGCATGGCAGATGCCCCTGGCTGACCACGGGGACAAGGTCACGTTCACCTGTGTGATCCCAGGGCCCACGCGGTGACAGGTGCAGAGCAGGTGTGACACCAAAGAATCAGTTGAATCAAAAATTTGTGGGGCGCCAGACGAACCATGAGAGACAATGGACTCTGAAAAACAAACTGAGGGTTCTAGAGGGGAGGGGGGTGGGAGGATGGGTTAGCCTGGTGATGGGTATTAAAGAGGGCACGTTCTGCATGGAGCACTGTGTGTTATGCACAAACAATGAATCATGGAACACTACATCTAAAACTAATGATGTAATGTGTGGTGATTAACATAACAATAAAAATTTTTTAAAAAATTGGGGGGCGCCTGGGTGGCCCAGTCCTTAAGCATCTGCCTTCGGCTCAGGTCATGATCCCGGGGTCCTGGGATCGAGCCCCGCGTCGGGCTCCCTGCTCAGCGGGAAGTCCGCTTCTCCCTCTCCCCCTCCCCCTGCTTGTGTTCCCTCTCTCCCTGTGCTTCTCTCTGTCAAATAAATAAAATCTTTAAAAAAAAAAAAAAACTTTAAAATTAATTTACGATTCTATTTAAAGATTTATTTGAGAGAGAGAGAGCGCACGCGAGTGAGAGGGCAGAGGGAGAAGGAGAGAGAATCTCAGACTCTGCCGAGCTGAGCACTGAGCAGGGATGCCAGGACCCTGCGATCGTGACCTGAGCCGAAACCCGTGTCAGACACTTAACTGACTGCGCCATCCAGGAGCCCCAGAACCAAAATTAAAAAAAAAACAGGTTATCAGAAGGTTTTTCAAAACAAAAATCCAGGGGCGGCCTGGCTGACTCAGTCGGTAGGGCGTGCAACTCTTGATCTCAGAGTTGGAGGATATAGAGATTACTTAAACATAAGGTCCTAGAAAAGAAAAAAGAAAAGAAAAAAAAAAGCAAAGAAACATCCAGAAATAGATGTAAATATATATGAGGACTTTTTTTTTATATGATACAGGTGGCATCCGAAACCAATGATTAGATGGGCCATTCCATATATGATGCTGGGACAACTGGGTAGCCATCCAGAAAAAAAGTCCGATTTATACGGGAACTCATATACTAGGACAAATACGAAGTGAACTAGAGGTGGGAATGCAAACAAGATCAACAAGTCAAAGGACGATGGGCAAAGACTATGAACACTGGGTTCACAGAAAACAATAGCGGATCTTAACCACACGGAAAGATGAACAACCTTGCTCGTAAAGACACAACTGGCTATTATATTACGCGAGAGTCTGATAACGGGACGGTTGGGCAAGGCTGTGGGAAACAGGCGCCGGCCGAGAAAGCTGGCTGTGCTCTTCGAGTCTCTGTCCCCGGCTTATCATTCCCAACTCCCCTGAAGCGACAGTCAGGGGGTCCCTGGGGGGTTTGCAGGACATTTGGACAAGGGCCTGACCGTCACATCTTGGTGTGGCCCTAACTTTGCGAGCACTTTGGTCTGTGGCCATTGATGTGAACTGGCTAAGGGACACCCACGTTACCCAAACTCACAAGGAGCCGGTGCAGGAACTAGGACGGGAAATCATGTTTAAAGATATTTTATTTATTCATCTTTAAGTAGGCTCCACACCCAGCATGGGGCTTGAACTCAGACCCTGAGATCAAGAGTCCCGTGCTCCACCAACTGAGCCAACCAGGCGCCCCCTAGAATGGGAAATCATTACTTTACCATGGGAAATACTCCTTTGCCATGACAGAACACGCAGCTCTGCAATCCGAAGCACCTCATTCTAAAGATCAAAACGCCCGCAAAGTTAACTTAGCGAGCACACGATGGCCTCGTAAGCGTGAGAGCGAGCAGAACTGTAGTAGAACACAGCGAAGGTTCTAAGTATCACAAGCCACAAGAGGTTTGCTAATCCCTTTGTATATGTACGGATCCCCCGATATACTATTTATTCATTCAGTTATTCGACTACATAGACTAAGCGTCCGGGTGCTGTTCAAAGCGCTGGAGATGTAAATGTGGACAACACAGACCAAGATCCCTGCTCTAGAGCTTACACGCTGTTGAGCTAAAAGGCAATAGACACGTGTTTAAACGTGGAGGGATCCCGTGCTACGGGATAAAAGAAAGCCAGGTAAGGGAGAAGCCGGGGCCCTGGCTGGAGGAGGGAAGATGAAGCCCAGGAGTCTATGCCGGCTGTTCATATTCTCACTTTCTACATGAGGAGGCTGCGGAGCAGTGACTTGCCTGAGACACTTTCCCTGTGTTTGGCTCTCCCAGATGTTCTATATCCCAAACATGTCCCGTCAGTCCCAATAATGATGTGCGATAATTTCTCATGTCATCATCTCCCAGTTTAGAGATAACAGGTGGAAGGGGGAGGGTGAATCGAGGAGGCCAAGGAACACACTAGGTCACACTAGGTGAACCGGGCTTAGAGGCCAGGGATTCGGAGCCCATGCTCTCGGGTGCTGCAGCAGAGGGCGGCTTCCGGCCCGTCTGCGGGAAGAAGACCTGTGTGTCGGGCTCAGCAACACTTAGTCTCCTCGGGGGCTGCACACACAAGAATCACTCTTCTCGGGGCGCCTGGGTGGCGCGGTCGTGAAGCATCTGCCTTCCACTCGGGTCATGATCCCAGGGTCCTGGGATCGAGTCCTGCACCGCGCTCCCTGCCCAGCGGGAAGCCTGCTTCTCCCCCCCCCACCCCCCGCTTGTGTTCCCTCTCTCGCTGTCGCGCTCTGTCAGATAAAGAAATAAAACCTTAAAAAAAAAAAAAAAAAAAGAATCGCTCTTCTCCTTTCTTGGTGCCCTTTCTAGGCCCTGTGCTCTCGGCTTCCCAGGCCCAGCCGGCCTCTTCCACTAAGCCAACGGTGTGGTCGTGGGCGAGTTGCTCCACCTCTGTGCCTCAACTGCTCCATCTGTAGGTAAACTTTGCAAGTCGGACATGAAGAAAGCACTGAGCACGGGTGTGACCCAAACAAGAAGCGTGTCTATTTTATTGCGTACATCGCTCCATCTCTTCAGCGGTGCCTCGTGGGACCCAGGACCCATATTCTAGATGACTGCCACCAAGGTCACCTCATTAGCTACGTCTGCGTTCCCTAAATCCCTTTACGGGAGGTCCGAAGGTTACCACTTCTCCACTGGGGAAACGGAGGCTCAGGAGGTGAGGTAGTTTGCCCACGGGCCCTGCTGATGGGGCAGGGTGGCCACCCTGTCAGGGCCCCATCTCGGGTCCCAACTTGACTCTGGAGCCCTTTGCAGGGGACCCCAGCCGGGCGCTTCTGGGTTGGTTCCCAGCGGCCTGGACCCAGGAAGCCTGTAGGGTCCTACCGTGATGACCCGACGAGTGTCCTGGAAACGCGGGCCACTCTGCCCCAGACCCTTCCACAGCCCCCCTCTCCCGACACATCCCCAATTCCCTTGGTCCTCCCCTCAGGCCAGCAAAAGCTTTACACCGAGGAGGGAGCTGGGCCGCCGCCCAGGTTCCTCTCCGGCGCGGCCACGCCTCCCTGCGCGGAAAGGGCGGGGCATTCAAATTAGAAATGGCGCTCCGGGGCGAGCGACGGAGGAACGCCAGACGCACCGTTCCCCTTTTAAAATGTAGAGCACTAAAAACTGTGCCCCAGGGCGGTGACTGCCATAGCACTGTCCGAGAAGCGAGGGGAGCGAGCGGTGGGATGAGCGCGACTTGGCCCACCGTGAGTGCGATATGGCTGGCGCCGGGGCGGTGGCGGCGAGGGCGGGGCGTCGGGCATCGCTTCTCGGCCTTTTGGCTAAGATCAAGTGTAGTATCTGTTCTTATCAGTTTAATATCTGATACGTCCTCTACCGAGGACAATATATTAAATGGATTTTTGGAGCCGGGAGATGGACTAGGAGCTTGCTCCGTCCACTCCGCGCATCGACCTGGTATTGCAGTACTTCCAGGAACGGTGTACCCTTCGGGGTCTAAATGTTTGGTACCTAATGACAGACTGTTTTTATTGCTATTGCGTATTGAGTAGGTTTTCTCAAGTGCTTTGTTTTCTGCTCCTCAGGTTGTAAATACTGTTTTACAGTAAAAACTTCTATGGACTCGTTTCTTGGTCAGTAGAGTTCTATGTTTTGTTTTTTTCTTGCCTTTGGGTGACAATCAGGAGGAATTGTCTTTTTCTAGCGGCTGGGGAGGATACGGAACTGGTCAGGATCCCATCCCCTTTTCTTTCTTTTTTTTTTTTAGGATTTTATTTATTTGACACAGAGAGACAGCAAGAGAGAAGCAGGTCTCCCGCCGAGCGGGGAGCCCGATGCGGGGCTCGATCCCAGGACCCCAGGATTATGACCTGAGCCGAAGGCAGACGCTCAACGACTGAGCTACCCAGGCGCCCCCAGGATACCATCGATCTTTCGTCTTGCTCCTGCCTTTGGGGTTGAAGCAGTTTACTTCGTGTTTTAAACCGCGGTTATTTTTAAATGTGATGGAGGAGCGCACACAGGCCGCCCATCTTCCCCTTAACCGTGCTTTTCAAAATCCTGCACGAAGGTAAAAAGTTTCATTAACCTCCGAGTTAATGGGGCGGCATACTGTCTCTCTACAGGGCCAGAGAGTAAATGGTTTTTAGGCTTCAAGGGCCCCAAAAGGTCTGCGTGACCTATTCTTTCACAACCCTTTAAAAATGTAAAATGCGTTGTGGGCTCTCCGCATACAAGAACGAGCCTGGCCAGGCGCCTGGGTGGCTCAGCCGGTTAAGCATCTGCCTTCGGCTCAGGTCATCGTGATCCCAGGGTCCTGGGATCGGGGAGCCCGCTTCTCCCTCCCTCTGCCTGCTGCTCCCCCAGCTTGTGCTCTCTGTCAAATAGATGAATAAAATCTTAAGAAACAAAAAAACCCACAAACAAGCCTGGGCAAATTTGCTGGCCGGCTGTAGCTTGCGGACACCTGGTATAAACATACCGGCTTTGTGTCTCGTCCCAGAGACAACGCCCCCCTTCAGGCTTTTTGCTAGTCCTCTGCCTGAATGCCAGAAAGGCCTGACTGACGATTGCACTTGCACGTGGCTTTGTGACCACAGTAGAAACCGAGAGTTCCTGCTCACCTGTGACTCTCCTGGTTTTTGCAGTCACCTTGAAGACGTTTGTTGAGCACTCACAATGTACTCTTGATTAAATACCTTTCTGTTGTCAGAGATTTCCAGTGATTCTTCCTTAAACGCATGGTTCCTGCAGATTCTCTCAACCTGTAACCATCGGGTCTTTTTTACACTCCTATAAATTCTAGGGCAGATTAGGGTTAAAATCTCCAGGAGGACTCATGATTACGGAAAATGAATCTAGCTAACGATGAGAATCCAGAATCCTTCCACCCAGTACGCATCCTCCTTCAAAACCGCAGCCCACGTGGGGAGGAAACTGTGACTGTCTCGACTTGATTACAAGAGACTTCTTTTCCTCCCATAGGCTGAAACTTAAAAACAGACAGACACTCAAATCTAGAACATCCACCCCAGAATCTCTTCTCGTTTTCCTGGTTTGTTGCCCTGTGTCGTGATGCGTCCTTTGATCGGTCCCTTCAGGTGCCAACAGAAATAGCCACATGTCACCTCTCCGTGCCTCATCCCCACGAGACTCTGAACATCACCTTTCCTACTCATTTCTTTTCCTTCTCCCCAACTCCTAACAGGTTTGAGCAACTTTGGGATCCGATGGTTGGAACATTTAATTAGGTTCCTGGGGTGACTGAGAGCGGGGGGCGGGGAGGGAGGCTACGAGTGTTACAGATTAGGGTTGATCCATAGTGCAAGAAATATTTCTTGAATGACTGCTATGTGCCAAGACCGAATGACAGGTGTGCCTCCTACCCCGAGAAACCTTACGGTCTCCGGTAGAAAAACGGAGCAACAAATCGTCCTGGGTCTAGGATTGTTTCCTGAACTGAACTTTCTACAAACCCTGCAAAGGATTTCTTCTCAATGGGTTGCCCACCCTCCTTTGCCAGCAGAGCGTCCCCTCGACTGACTGAAGCAAGGCATCCGTTTCTGTTTATCCTATCCACTGATCTAATGAGATATCCTAGGAATTGATACCAAACAGTTGAACACGCAACAGAAAATGGACAAAGGATAGGGGTGCCTGGGTGGCTCAGTCGTTAAGCGTCTGCCTTCTGCTCAGGTCATGATCCCAGGGTCCTGGGATCGAGCCCCGCATCGGGCTCCCTGCTCAGCGGGAAGCCTGCTTCTCCCTCTCCCACTCCCCCTGCTCGTGTTCTCTCTTGCTGTGTCTCTCTCTGTCAAACTATAAATAAAATCTTAAAAAAAAAAAAAAAAGGACAAAGGATAGACAGTCCTCAGGGGGGAGAAAAGAAAAACACAGGTATACGCTGACATCTGGCCCCCAGAGAACATTCCCCCCACCCCCCCGTCCCCTCGTGTCTCTGGACCAAAGGGCCTGGGTCACCCGCTCATGCCACGGACCCTAGGATTGATCCATTCCCTCTGTTGCATCACGCTGATGGGGCAGGATGAGTTGGGGGATGGGGGGCAGGCCCACCAGAGGCCATAAAGAGACACACACTCCCCCTGGCCCGCACCCCGCCCCCCACCCCCCCACCCCCCGCCGTCGGAGAGGGAGGTAAACCCTACAGTGATACAGCACAATGTTTAAGAGATCCTATTGTCGGGGCGGGCAGGGACATCCCCTCCAAAGCCCAGAAAATTGCTTCCTCTTTATACCAGAGACTACTGAGAATTAGAAGGAAGCCCGAGGCCCGGTGGGCCTCTTTGCGTTCTGGAAGCAACACATTTCACACCCAGACACCCTTTTTGGGCTCACGCACCGGGTGATGGGGCAGACCCTCAGCTCAGAGGCTGGCCCGGAGCTGAAAAGGGCTCTCAAGCCCTGGGAGGGGAGCGGGGGGTGGGGGGCAGCCCTGCGGTTTGGGCCACAGGATCCTGCGGACCCCATCGTGCTGACGACAGTGGGCGGGTCCCTGAAGGAAAGAGATGAGGTGTGGAGTTTATGGCAAGCCAGGGCGGTGGAGGATCACAACGGGGGGCCCTCCCTGCGGGTTCTGGAGCCAGGCCGCCGGGCCACCGACGGCAGAGACTTCCCCTTCTGAAAAGCAGCTCCTGGCACACTGGTGGGCCTTCGGGGAGACGGCTGTTTAACGGGGGACCGTCGGAGCCCAGGGCCCCGGACTGTCCGTCAGACCTGTGGGTCCTGACGTCAGGCGGGCCAGCAGCAGCGGGCCACCCTGAGATAAATGTGGGGTATCAGGGTCGAGCCTGAGCAGGAATAAGAGACACTGGACAGCCGACTGACCCAACGACCCCGCTGGCCTTTGTTGGCCACCCCAGACCTGGCACGGTGGACATGTGAACAGTGGGGCCACAGGGGTGGCCGTGGAGGCCTCACACTAGCCAGCATTCGGTTGGGGTACTGGGGCCGGGCCATTTCTACTGTGGGGATGCGGGGCTCCTCTAGCCAGCCATCTTTGTTTCCAGAAACCTCTCTTTGACTGGCCCAGCCTTTGTCAGGTGCCACAGGGCTTGAGGCTCTCCCAGTCCACACCTGCCTCCTCCTTCTATCTTTCAAAGCATGAATTCACCCCCCTCACCACCACCACCACCACCGAAATAAACCTCTTACGCTCCTCGCTCTGTCCCTGCGACTTCTTCCCAGAGGACCCAACTGCCACCTAGGACTCAGACTCCAGTGGTCAACTTTACAAAAACACTGGTCAATTTGAATATGTAACGCTCATGTCTGTCCAGTTAAAAGAGAAAGAAAATAGAAAGAAAGAAAGAAAGAAAGAAAGAAAGAAAGAAAGAAAGAAAGAAGAAAGAAAAGAAAGAGAAGGAAGGAAGGAAGGAAGGAAGGTAGGAAGGAAGGAAAGAAGGAAGGAAGGAAGGTGGAAGGAAGGAAGGTGGAAGGAAGGAAAGAAAAAGAAAGAAAGAAAGAAAGAAAGAAAGAAAGAAAGAAAGAAAGAAAGAAAGAAAGAAAGAAAGAAAAGAAAAAACGAAACTGGGAACAAATATATGTCGGTCTACCACAGGCAGGGTTCATCTCCAAATTACACAGGAGATCTGAGAATGGGGTCAAAAAGAAAAAGACGGGGTGCCTGGGTGGCTCAGTCGTTAAGCGTCTGCCTTCGGCTTGGGTCATGATCCCAGGGTCCTGGGATCAAGCCCTGCATCGGGCTCCCTGCTTGGCGGGAAGCCTGCTTCTCCCTCTCCCACTCCCCCTGCTTGTGTTCCCTCTCTCGCTGTGTCTCTCTCTGGCAAATTAAAAAAAAGAAAGAAGGAAGGAAGGAAGGAAGGAAGGAAGGAAGGAAGGAAGGAAGGAAGGGAAAGAAAGAAAGAAAGAAAAGAAAAAAAACTGGATAAAACATAAGCAAAGATCACGCAGTTGAGGGGAAAGATAATAAATGTGGTTTTTCACATACAGAGATGCAAAGATGAACAGAGATGTACAAAGAGAGAAATGCGTATGAAAACGGTCCCGAGATGTAATGTAGCACCTGGGAGTTTGGCCAAAATCCAAGAGTCTGATGAGCTCCTGGGTTCACCAGGCTGCAGAAACAGATGCTGCTAGAGAACCCTGAGGGTGCTCCTCGAGTCCCCGTCTCGGATCCATGGCTCACGGCGAGGGTACCAGGGACCACCACGAGGGTGTGACACCTTGATGGAGGGACATGGCTCTTGGGGGAGAGTGGCTCCAGCCTTAGCTGCTCAGGCACCGCTGTGTGTGGGTGTGGATCTGCGCGGGCATGGCCCGGAGCGGGGGGTTCTGACTGCAGTTACCCTGGAGCCCCTGAAGTCAGGAGAGGCCAACGCGCGCGCCACAAGGTGAAGAAAGTATCTTCAGTGGGAGAGGTTGCTGTGCAAGGAGTGGAAGCGTCTGAGGGTCCAAATACCTGGGAACCCATAAAATGACTACTGAAGACCCCAGAACCAAGCAGAGAGGTCTTGTGTGGGAGAGGCGGGAAGAGCCCGTCAGGATAACCCTGTGCCAGGGGCTGGGTAAGCTGGGTTGATGGATCACCTGGTTGGATCCTCACCCGTTCACTCATCCCTTCAAGGGATGTTTAGGTGCTGAGCACCGGTCTAGGTGCCCGGGCCAGAGAGGCAGAAAAAGCAGCCCAGGTGGGATCTTCCCAGGGGCCGGGAGCTGGGGTGGAGGGCCCCGGGCGGGTGTGGGAAGGAAGGCGGGGTCCTGGGACAAAGCGCACAGGCGACCAATCTTATCGGTGCTGGTGCCAGCTACAGGAGAAACTCAAAACTAGGTTGGGGCCCGAGAGGGGCGCCTCTCGGCGGGGGGTGAGGGGTGGAGGGGGCGGGGGCGGGGGTGGAGGGGGGGTGCACGAAACAGGCCCCACGTTAGGTGTTATTAGGGCCTGGCCTTCAGCGAGGAGATGAAGGTTCGGAGAAGTGACTGGCCAGATCGCTGTTTCTCCCCGAGGGCTGGCTACTCGAGGGCCGACTCCCGCCGGACATTTCCACAGAGGGCCTCGGGGGCTAACCCGTCGGGAAGGTAACTTCCTTAGGGTCCCGCTAGAGCGCGCGCTTCCCCGAGAACGAGTGAAAGAGAGATCGTCGCCACCCGCACGGGAGAGAGGGAAACCCCCAGGCCGGGAGTCACAGAGCCGAGAGAGCTCGGGCCGGGCGGTGACCGCAAATGTCCCCATCGCGTTCCCGGCCTCGCTCCTGCCAACCCAGGTGCGTCGGAGCAGCAGCCCTCCTCCCCTCCGAGGTCCACGTCCGGTTCTCAGCGCTCCCTCCGGTAGACTGCAGCCGCTGGCGGGGCCTGTGCTCCAGACGCAGGCGGTGTCTTGGGACAGGCTGAGGGCCGCAGGTCACCGGACACGTTTCTCAGCCTCTCTGGTCTCGATGATCACAGCTGGGAAGTGAGGGTGAGAACGCTTCCCCTCACTCCGGGGTCCGGAGGATCCAAACGGATAGCAAAGCCTGCAAGGCAGGTGCGTCCGGCGCGCGGCGGAGGTGCGATCAGGGTTCTTTCCCCGCAGGGTTGACGCCACGGAGGAGTCCATGGGGTTGAAGGGCGACCGTGCTGGTCTCCCGGTCCTTACGGCTACGTGCAGGCTTTGCGGAGAACCAACCGAGGCGGGCCGGGGAGCGGTTGGCGGGGTGGGGGTGGCTCAGTCGCGGGAGGCTGGAGAGGAGGCGGGT